CTGTAATTTTACGAAGCTACGAGAATACTTTTTGTGCACAAAGAAAACAAAAATAACGATTTTATTCAACGATTTCTTCTCTTTGGGGACAGTCCTCCGCCATTATGATCATAGATCATGGTAGGACCCTTGCTGTCTATAGAGGGGCAGAGAGCTCTCGGATTTCATCAAAAATTCCAAAGATGAATGAAGGTCTTGAGGGTGAGTAATTAATGACAGAATTTTCATTTTTGGGTGAACTATCCCTTTAATTGCTGAAATAGATGTCAGTTTGTGAACAGGTTTCAAACATTTACAAAATTTGAATTAGTTTTTAATTTTTGTATTTTCCATTTTTAGTAATTTTGTTGTGTTTTTGTTTGTTTGTTTTTTGCTAGCTTTTTATGTCTATATGATTTTATATATTTTTTACAATTTTATTTCAGTTTTAGTTTAATTTTAGTACATCAAGTTAAATAAAAATTAGAAATATTTCTTTGGCAACTAGCAGAAAAAGCAGAAAAAGTTTGTGGTATTTTATTTTATTTCATTTAATGTTTATTTTATTTCAAGTGACAAAAATTTTCTTTTTAAGGTTTTAATTTTACTTTCAGTTAATTAATAACCCTGGTTCAAGGGTTGTGGCCAATAGCCTATCAGCTGAAAAAGCATGTGTGGTTGCATCTATACCATACTATTTATAATGTTCTTCGATTTGAGACACACTGGCTATATGTTCAGATTAGCAGTACATAGTATGCAAATATAGTTTTATGACAGGATTCCATTAGCATGCAACATGATGTGGTGATTTGTGACAACATGTTGCATTAATGTGCAGTAAACTAGTATTCAATTCTGGGATGCAGCCATGTTCTTACTTTCTCTTTTTGCAGATGAGTTAGTACAATTTTTAAGATTTGAATTCATTGGATATTGTTTGTGATTTATACCGTTGGTTAGATCCTAACATCTTCAGCTGGACAAGGAGGAAAAGTGAAGAACACCTCTTTCAATTCTGTCTTTTTCTCTCTGACTCTCACTAGCTGTTCTATTGTGTTTGCTAAATGTGGCAGGCCATAAAAACAATGTAAATCTGGCCGGGACAGGCGATGGGGAAGTGCGTGAAAGACTGGATAGTCCATCTTTTATTTCACACCCCTAAACCTGTGGCCTGTCCCCTCCTTTTCCCGCTTCCCTCTCATTGCGATCCAAACTGTCACCTTTTATGGGAGTGTGTGATGGCTTCACTGTGTATGAGTGAGCGAGAGAATCTGGGCTAAAGAAAGAAAAGCCGTGATCGAAGGCCCCATTCACAGCTTTCTTTAACAGCCTTATTAGCTGGAGTGAATGGGAACGTTTCTTTTATGAGGAAGGGGGGAAAAAAAGCAGGAGGCTCGGGCAGCCTGGTGGAGAGGAGAGAGGAAAAACAAGAGGGAAAGGCATATTCGCCACAGTTCCCTCCTCCT